CTCTCTCTCTCTCTCTTTGATCGCCAAACAATGCGCTTGAGATGCCTGCGCGTGCTTGACTCATCCGCAAACATTAATGTCGACTAAAAAGGTATCAAATGGGCATCATCCATTCAACTAAAAGTTTGGCGGCTTGCCAGCGTGTCACTGTCTCCTCCATTTGTCGGCGCCGCCTCCCAGTCGTTGCGGTAAGATGCCTGGCCCCTTGGACCATTGGGCTCTTCTCAGTGCCTCTTCCTGATATGACCAGTCCTTGCTGTGGGCCTTGTACAATGCATCCAGGTTCGCTTGAAATTGGCCGAAACAGTGAAGCAAGCTGTCAAATTGGTGGAGCAGGGTCACATTCGCGTTGGCCCGCAGACCGTTACTGATCCAGCTTTCTTGGTTACACGACGCATGGAAGACTTTGTCACCTGGGTCGATGCCAGCAAGATGCGTCGTCATGTGCAAAAGTACAACGATAAGGTCTGTATTTAACTTGTGCTTTGCACCCTCCCTGCCTGCCGACCTGATTGCCGAACACGCGCACTCATCGCAACACATGCTTGCTGCACACGTTCAATACTAGCTTGATGACTTTGACCTTTTGGGCTAAGCGGCCGCAAAAGGTTTGATTGATAGGATCCAGCCTGCAATGAAACAGCAGAGGCACAATTTCTTTTCTTTCTTTCTTCTTTTCGCCAATGTTTTTTCAGGGCCTTGGCTCTCCATCTCAGATGCTTCATCGTCATCGTCGCCGTTGGCGGTGGTGTTGTTTTACCGGTCCCTTGCCGCTGGTCGGCCTTGAAATGGGTTATCCCGGGTGTCCCCTAACAATGTTCCTCATGTCAAATTTATGTTCAATCAAACGTCCAATGCTGTCACACGAGGCGTACGGCATCTCGAGGTAGTCAACACAAACCCAAAGACGGAAGATTCACTACACACCCAAAAACAAATGCTTTGATCACGGATCAGGGGACAAGGAAGCAACAAAGAGACAAGAGCAACCCCAGACTCGGTAGCCTTGTAAAGAAGCCAGACGATTGCGAAGCCTGGCATCTAGTTTGGAATCAAAGGCAAGCCAAATTCGTCCACGCCCACGGCATCTGCCTGACCGTTCGCGGGGTTGGCATCTACACGACCAGAACACAAAAAAAACAACGCGTGAGGCACCAGATTGGCAAGCATCGCGACGGCAAAGCCACACAATATACGCCTTCTTGTCAGCTGGGGCACCCAGCTCTTCCAAGACTGGTGGGAAAACGTACTGGGCGTGGCAGTGGGGACCGAGGCCATGTCGTCCAGGGAAAAGTCCTCGCCCAAATCCAAATCATCCAGCTCACCCAACATGTCCAGCTCTGGACATGACCCGACAGAAACACAAACATACAAACGCATGAGCCAAGGGCATACATGCCGACACAGCCAAATATCAAGCGAGATCCAAAAACGCAACCAACCAGCATCCAAGTCACCCTCATCAATATCGTCCATGCCGTAACTGCGAGCAAGAATCTCCTGAATCTCGTTTTGGTCCTCCATCAGGTCTTCAAGCTCGTCTTGAATGTCCTGCAACGATCCAACCATTTGGGCGAGCCGAACATGAGACAAGACGGCACCGTGGTGTGGGGCCATGACAAGCACGCCAGCGGTCGTCGGAAGATCGGTGGTTGTTGGTTCGTGCAGCAAGAATGATCAGCACAGCACGACTCACCTCGATTTGGCTGACGTTAAGCTTCTTGAACTGGGTCTTCATGGCCTTGGCTCCTTCCTTCATCGCGGCCACCTGGGGGGAGAGAGACAAGAGGCAGAAATGATGGTCAAGACACGCGAACATGTAGAAAGATTGGCGTATGGACAGGGACATTGAGTGTGTTTGGCTGTTTGTTTTTGAACCAGAGGGGCGCCTCAAACCGTGTGTTGGGTGTCCTGCAGCGACTGAATGGCAAAATTTTGCTGCTCCATGTTGAAGGACTGTTGCTGAACCTGACCGAGCTGATTCTCATACCTACACTCATGCCACCGAAAAAAAAAAACAAGGAAAAGTAAAGAAAAAAAAAGGAATTGAGCAAAGCTTGTACACGCGCATGTTCTTGACAGCCTTGATGCGCCCTTGACATACGTGCGTTTCTGCTTGAGCACACGCATCGCACGCTGGCGGACCATTTTCTATCCAGAGTACAATCAACAAGGAAAAAAGCGGAGGGGAGGATCAATGACCAGGAGGATAACAGGTGGAACAGTTGACAGAAGTCTGTCGATGGTGGAGCTCGTACCTCCCCGGGCTTGCCCTTGAGCTGTTGAATCTGCTTCTTGTACTTATTGAGCTCAATGTCAAGCTTGGCAATCTTCTTCTCAATACTCTCGGCGCGTGAATCGGCCTGTCAGTCAACGAAAAGCATAAGCAGTGACCATCTGCGCGATGCGCCTTTGCAGCGGTCGCGGACCTGCACGACAAATTGTGCGCACACGTACCGAGGCGACCATGTCAGTCAGGCTAGGAGCTGGCTCCTTGGGCTTCTTGGAGCCGAAGAGGCGGTTCATGGCGACCGTTGTCACAACGCTCCAAACGTATGACCCTTGCACAGACGCACACTCGTCGCTATCTCGAGCTTGGCCGCCCTGAGCCTCTCACGCAGCGCCTGCTCTCAAATCACGCTCAGCAAAGGTCCTTTTGAAACAGTCGTCGTCACTCACAAGACCAGATCAGATCCGGCCAAGCCAAAAGAATAAAAATGAAACAGCGCTCTCTCTCTCTCTGTTTCTCTCTCTCTCTCTCTCTCTCTCTCTCTCTCTCCCTCGCACTCGTTACGTGTGTGTGTGTGTGTGTCGTCTCCTCTCTTCTCTCTTTCTCTCTCTCTCTCTCTCTCTCTCTCTCTCTCTCTTGTGTTGCGTGTGCGGAATTGTTTTGGAGCGCTTCGGTGTCGTCAACATGTGTTGTGTTTCATGTGACTTAAATGGATATGCTCACACATTTCGTGCACTGGGACCATGGCGGCCACGAGCTCCGCCGATCTGGCGCCGGCGTTGTCGACGACGGAGCTGCCGAACAACATTGTCGATGCTGCACGTCTGGTAGGAGCTGTCGTAGCAGCGCTGGTACACAAAAATCAACCGCGCCGGAGTGATGGCTCCCGCTTGCCGTTCTGGCCCTCACCTTGGTGGTTGAACGCAGATCCTGCAAACCGCCGACCCAGCTCGGAAGGTGCAGCTCACAACTGAAGCCATTTCGCGCTGGTATGTGTGCAGCTGATGGAGATGACCCTCCACCTCGACTCGTGCTGTTCATTGGTGGTACTTCAAAGGTGGCCTTGCGCTGTCCAGTGTATCCGTTGACCCTTTCACCCGTGCTCAATAACCTTTTTTATTCATCCCGCCCAACTCACGCATGCACACGCGCATGGATCTGTAGGCGCGCGGGTGAGCTTGAGTTTGAGCGAGTAACGCCCAAGCTGGCTCTGCCTGACCAACCGCCCCAGGATGCTGCCTTGGAGATTGTGGAACCACATCGCATGAAATTGGGCAAGGGCGGCTCCTTACAGAGTCGGATTGCGATTTTGCATTCGCTGGCCGCCATCGAACTGGTCTGTCTCCATATGCTGTTCAACCCTGCACCAGCATCTGCATCCAGATGCAAGCATCGCAGAGCGGGCCAGTCTCTTCTTTCTTTCTCCCCCTCTTCCCCTCTGGGTGTACAACCTCTTCTCACGTTGGCCTTTTGCCGCCTCTGGGCGTGGGTATCGGAACATGACCCATGTAGCACGCCGTCAATCTAGCATGGGACATTATTGCTCGCTTTGGCAGCCATGCCATCGTGGAAAGCCTGCCGGCCACCTTGCCTCGCGACTTTTACTCCGATTTGTGAGTGAATCTCTAGGGCTCAACGCCGGTTTACTTTGAGGCGGCATGTGAGCTGTTCTGACCCAGGCCTTACAACTCACCTCAACCTGGGGAACTGCGCAGCGTGACCGTGGCCGAGGATGAATGTCGCCATTTCAACATGCTTGCAGCCCGCCTCAAAGACCTGGGCTCCTATTTTGGTGCTCTTCCTGTCCACAACGGTGCGTCACGACGCTTGGTAGCAGCCTGCCCTTGCGCACGCCTCGTGTGTGATTCCGGAGCCCACCCCGGCCCCGCCCTCACCCCGTCTACCCGTGACTCGCTCGTGCCATCAAGGCCTATGGCAGAGCGCTGAAGAAACATCCAACTCTCTACTGGCGCGCTTGGCCATTGTACACATGGTACATGAAGCTCGTGGTACGCGTAGTTTGCTCGAACCGATGTATCGACGAGGCGCCAGACGTGGTGCTGTCACGACCGGCCTCAAGCTGCTGTTTTCCACTTTGGAAATACATCCCACCTAGGCTTGGATGTCACCCCCAACACCATTGAGAAGTTCCGACGCAATGGCGACACTGAAAGTGCCAACATGCTGCAGACCATCTATGAGGAAGAAATTACCCACGTTGCCGCTGGCATGCGCTGGTTTCGGTTCGTTTCCCACCTTGACTTCACCGCTACCTTCCAGTCCCTCACCTCATTGCCCATCGGGCTTACCAACCCGTATCATTTGCACTCCATATTGTTGCACAGGCAACAAACGGGTGACCTCGAGGAGGAAAGTGATCGCATTTCCGTCTTCCACCGCACCGTGCTCAAGTACTTTCACGGCGTGCTCAAGCCACCCTTCAACGATGCGGGACGTGCCCAAGCTGGATTTACCGAAGACTGGTATCTGCCGCTCGTGCAACGCGCCTCAGACAATGGCGCGGACAAATCTACCGCCAATTAGAGAGCCCCCGCGCACGCATCGGCCAAGCCGAACATGAAGCAGAATGATCTCGACACACTGAATTGGAGTTTTAACCGATACCAGTCCTAACATGTCAAGCACGAGAATGTTGATGGTACGACAGTAGTAAACACACGCCATTGCAAAGAAAGGACGAGACAGAGGAGAGGAGGGGGCGGCGAGGATTGCCGTAGCTGGCGCCACTCTTGCCCAGCAAACAGATTTGAAGACGGTCAGTTGAGTCTTAGAAACCGTAGTGTGGCTCGTCCTTCGGGGGATCAAGGCAGTCGGTGATGTAGTCAAGATCATGGGCGTGCGCTTCGAGCCAATCGTACACTTCACGCGTGATGTTGCGCAACGGCCCTTCACCAATCATGACATCAACGGGATCCTGGAGATTGCGAAAGCATGGGCTCAAAGCCTCGGGCACTTGCATGGTGGCCTTTGCATAGTCACGCCTGCAAACATGCATTACCAACGTATGAATGCTAGCCACACTAACTCGTGGATGTTCATCAGGTCACTCAAGCACGGCTGGGCTTGGACGTACCACCAAAAATAGAGCGAGTGCACGGCCCAGAGATAGTTGAAGCGATACGACGTGGGGCCGGCTCGCCAACCCGCCACCCGGTGCAAAGGTACACGATAAGCGGCCTCTCGCCGCGCCACAATCGTTGTTGCCTGCTTCAGAACGCTCTGTGCATCTTCAACACGCCCCTATGACCACGAAACAAGCATTTAGCATCAGCATGACAATGACAATAGCATAACAACAAGCACGCATTGACGCCCTCGTCACCACCGCAGAACCAATTAGCACTATCGCCAGGCATTGAGGTCACTGATTGACCGGTGACAAATCAGACAACAAAAAAAAAAATACCTGACGCCAATGCTCAGACTGTCCGTGGTTCTCGATGGCAGTACCCGCATAATCATACAAGGCATATAGCAGGCGGGCGCGGAGCCACAGCATTTCAACGCCATCAATCTATAGACCATTCGGCACGGCAACGAAGGCTCGTGAGACCAAACAAGAGGGAACGCGCCGCCAGCACCAATGCAGACGCGAGTCGTGCTGTCTCGTCGTGCTGTCTCACCATCTCGGCCAGGTAGGGCTGAAGAGCTTTGGGGGTCGTCTTGTTCAAGGCCTCAAACTGGGCCACGTAGGCACCAAACGTACTGTTCATGGCCGCCAAGAGCGGGCGAACCTTTGGTTGATCCCGACAATCACAGCAAGCAGTCAGCTCGGCTACGTACTCTTCCCAATCAACCCGCGAAGCTCAAGCTCGAGTTTTATCTATCGACACACTTTGGTCCAGTAGTCTGGCTCCTCTCCCATCCAAATGGCATCAAAACCTAGTTTAACGGGCTGCACGCTGTCAATGGGGTCAACGATGGCCGGAATCTCAGAGTAAGGATCCCAGCCTTGCATGTACGCCTACCCAGCACAGAACGAGATACGTCAAGATGAGCTCAGTCCCGGATGAGTTTCATAAACACCCGAGGTGTTGGGGAAGCCCCGTCAGGACTCACTTGTCCGTTCAGCTTGACATAACCGGTGTCGTCCGTGGGCAACACTGCACCGCTGTAGTTGCCGAAAATGAGGAGCTCTCGTTGGTCCTTGATGAAGCGCAGAAGAAGTTGGCGCAGGTCTTCGGCTGCTGACCCAAAGGGCTGCACGACAGGTGTCAACGCCTTGGCCAATGCATCTTGGTCTGACGCACAGCCGTCCGCTACAGGTTGAGCAGCCACGATATACAGCACAATGTCAGTGCGCGCTGCACGACGGCCAGTGCTCGGAGACTCAAACCCCTCCCGGCCCAAGAAACAACTTGCACAAGGGCGGTGGCGAGGAAAAAAGAAAACTGACCTGGCCCACAAACATCCCAGGCACTGCGGGCGGTTATAACGTCTTGCAGCCAGTAGCCCCACTCCCAGCCAGAATCAAAGTCCATCTGACCCGCCATGGTCTTGTTGACGCGTTGCTCGTGTGCCTTGATGAAGCGCAGATCGCTGACGCGCCCATAGGCATAGATGGGCAGGAACAGGGGTACTGACGAATCATAGTTGATCCAATAAGCTGTTTCGGGATGATATACAACCGAGCGGTTTGTCTCGAGGGCATAAAAGAGGAAGTCAAACATGCTGGTAAAATTCACGTTGCCATAGGTGTTAGCAGGATCCTCGTAATTGTAATACTGGACCTGCCGATGGGCAAAATGATGAAAGCAGACCGGCCACGCGTAAGATGGAGGCTTGGAAACGTACTCGGCTTGTAAAAAAAATTACGGAGACAGATGCCAAAGCAGGAAAAACGACAACGGGGAAAGGGAGCGACCGGCCTTCAGAGCCGCGATATCATGTGGATACGTACAGTGTGAGGCATGACACCCATGCGGTCATCGGCAAAGATGGGCAAATAGTTGAAGTTGATTGGACCCCCAGACATGGGATCCGTGTAGTTGGGGCAGACTTGGCCCGAGGAAATATGAACCTTGATATAGGCCGTCATTTGGTTCGCCGCGGCCTGTTGTGCCGTGATGTTGATCCAGTCCAACATCAGGCTGCATTCGGGGTGCGTAAACTCGCTAAAGCCGTTCTCTGTGCTTAAAAAGTCAAACCCAGCCTCGGCTAACCACTGCATACGTGAGGCGATGCTGGCTGGAGCGAGCGACAGGTCGCTGGTGGAGTTGACCAAGGCGAATGCGTGCTGCTGCTGAAGAGCGATGGCAGCATCGGCGCCGGCGTGCAGGCCAAAGCCACGCACAACCTTTGTCAGGTTGAGAAGACGACCTTGCCGGATCGGGCCCAACGCAAAACTGCCCCAATCACGTGCCCACAGCGGCAACCACTCGATTCTATCGCACACCAATGTCAGTGCGTGAGCGCTTCAGCCCAAAGCTCTTACAAAGAACTGCCAGACTTGGGGTTGGGTGAAATACCACTGCCATACCGGTTTTGCAGATTGGCCAAGCACCACTCTGCCAAAAGAGCCATGTCAGGTTGCATGGCCTCCCAGGTTTCCAAGACCGTGCCATTTGCCGTCAGATCAAAGCCCGTGAGCAGGTCTGTGAGCTCCAATGGATGCTGCGTGTGGATGTGGAAACCGCGTAGCGGCCAACGCGGCGAAGAGGACGTGTTGGCGATGGCCGACACGTTCAAGCTTTCGGGTACGATTGGCGTCAGGGGATGCAAAAAAGCAAACCCGGCCATCTGCAGGGCTGCATAGCATGCGTACGCATCTCCGCGCCCCGCCACCTGCGCGTAATGGCGATCGTATGGCAGAGGTGTGGGAGCGCGACCAGCGGCCACCACGAGCTGCGGTGACTGATGCAAAAAGGCCCGGACCGTGTAGCCCTCCGGTCCGAGCTTCTCAATGTCAGCGGACACCAAATGGCTGTAGCTGGTGTTGCCACAGGACCACACCACGTCAGCGTTGCTCGTGACGAGCTGAGCGCCCGTCTGCGCCACGAGCTCAGCAACCCGAGGTCCCACCGCCGCAGGGAGATTGCTATCCAATTCCAACTGCACCTTGAGACTCATGGCACAGCCCAGAAGGGCCAGCATAATGGTCACCAAACGACCCGCCATCGTGCCGACAGGCCAAACGCACCCCAGCCCACGACCACCAGATCTCAATCCCAGCGTCTAGGCCAAACGCAGCTTGATGAGCCTTGACCTCCAAAAAAAAAAAAATAAGAGAGACAGAGACAGAGACAGAGAGACAGAGAGATGAAAGTGAGACAGAGAGACAGAGACAGAGACAAGAGAGACAGAGACAGAGACAGAGACAGTCAGAGACAGAGAGAGATGAAGAGAGAGAGAGACAGAGAGAGATAAAAGAGAGAGAGAGACAGAGAGACAGAGAGAGAGAGAGAGAGAGAGATAAAAGTCAGACACACACAAGCTCCATCACGCTGTTGAGCAATCATTGACGGGTGATATGAGTTAATGTAGTTTCCAGAGCAGAAGATGAAGAAAATTTACCATTTGTTAGAGAAATTGTGGAAGCGGGTGGTATAGAAAGTTACGCATTTATCTGATTTTCTGCAGTTACACGTGTCGCGCAGTGGGAAGCGGGGCATCAGCGGAACGGCGGGTTGGAAGTGGGCAGTGCTGATTCGTGGATAGGGACGGCAGGCAACAGAGGCCCTGCGCACGAGACACAAGACAGCTTCTGTTGAATGCAACAATTGCTGTACAGCGCCCCCCCCCCCC